CGAGTCGTGGACCGCATGCTAGACTCAAATGTCAATGTACCCATACGGAGCTCATGGCAGTCTCACCCGACATCCGCAAGGTATTCCGGGAGCTCATCACCCCGAAGCGAGTCATGGAAGGTATTATCAGTCAATGAGTTAACCTCGCGTTCCGATCGAAGCATTCGTACGAAAGTATGATCACTGTCTCCCCGCAGCAGACGACGGGCGCATCGTATCTGAACACTTCGAAGCATTGAGATGTATCAAAGCAACCTTGAAGGGAGGCGGATTCTTTCTTGCATCCTAGACCAGGCGCTGAATGCATCGTGATGCCAAGGAGAGTATGGAAAAGCCTCGGATCAGAAGTACTTGCGTTCGGATCACAAGCTAACCATGGAATCGGTCAATACTTCCACAGATTGCACGCTCGGTGTCATCGAAAACCTTGCGCTAGATTTTGGTTCAGGGGAAATTGGTTCCAAGTACAGGTAATAGAATCCGCACACTTCGACATACTCCTCGGACGACCATTCTTCACTCTTACGAGTTGCCGTACTGAAGACCTTCCCAACGGAGAACAAGACATCACGCTTACGGATCCTAATAGTCGCAAGGAAATTCGCATCGCCACAGAATCTTGGGTCAAGTTCTGCCCCGGATGCAAACAAGATGAGGCCTGCTCAGACCATCCGCGACGCCAATCTGGATGACCTTGCAGAAGAGAACTGAAGAACCGGAAGATGAAGATGCGGACCCAGACACATAAAACTCCCACATTCCTTTTGCCCGACACTCGTTACGCTCACTCGTTTCCACCCCCGCAACCTTCAACTTTCAAACCTCACTCAACACATACGCTCGCTTCGTCTCAGTATATATCAAGTAATATAGTATGCATTTCTACCCCGGGTTTTGTCCGGTGCCTCTTTTTAACCCTATAAAACCACACCGCAACTAATTCAGAAAAACACGGTACTCCACCGCACGCAGACATATATACATACAAGACAGAATGGACTGAGACCCGATGCGCAACCAACCGAGACCCTTCTCATTCGCACTCGGCATATGTCCATCACGCACAGTTTGACTCATATAAAGTTCGCATCGTATACTCACCACACACCGGGACACAGGTTTGACACAGAGGAAGGCCAGTCGCACGATGACGATAAGACGGACGGTACTCCGCACGCACCAGACACGTCCTCAATCTTTTAGTTCTCAAATTAACAAAGTAACCGTATGCGCGCACTCACCATCCTTCTCGTTTCATAGGCACCCAGTGAGGAACCAGACGGGATACGGATATGGACACGGACGGGAACGGACAAGAAACACGATCACATACATGGCAAAACGAATGTAGTACAGGAGGAAGCAGATGAGTAGGACGGTAATTACTTGCGGGCAGCACGCTTCTTGAGGATGCGCTGCTCCTGCTTGTCGAGCGCAAGGGTGGCCTCGAAGATCATGCTATAGGCTTGCATGAGCTGCGCACGCACCTGGCGCATCTCGTGCAACTCCTCCAGATCCTCCGCATCACCAACATCGTCCTCTACTGCCAGCTTCTTTCCCTTCCCAGTAACGACCGAACGTCGTCTAGCACCCACCTCACTATCAGAGACCTCGAGTATCTGGCGTTCCGGAGAGGAGACGGTACGACGAATGGAACCAGGCGCGGATAGGCGAGATCCACCAGCAACAGGAGTTGCGGACGGGGCCTTCTTAGTGGATGCCTTCCCAAAGGACGCGTACTCGCATTTGGTCCTCGCAACCTTACAGGGATCGCATTGCTGACCCCGCGAACCACTGCAAGGCTGGTCACGCCTCTTGCAATTGCCACAAGGAAGAACGTGGTCAACCTTAGCACCCGGGACGACCGCACGAGCACCAGATTTCTGCGCAAACCACATCCTTAGCCAAACAGTCCCTGACACGCAACGAACAGGACATCAACGCACCGACACGCGTGGCTCATCAGCTTCTGCGGGCTTCTTCGCCTTACGCGCACGTTGGCAGACGTCACCACTGTGGCGCTCGCAACCTCAGGCTCCCCATCCGCATCCTCCTCCCCACCCCCAGCATCGCCCAAACCACGTCCATTTTCTCCGCATCGTCCTGCAACTTCTCCGCGAATTGACACTCATGCATTGCGTAGGTCACATTGCCGCTCTTCACCAAAGTGGTATCAGCTGTGGACAAGGACAGCTGCAACCCCTCGCTTCTGCGCAGCAGCAAAGCAAGCACTGAACGCAGCCTACGCACCAATCAGCACAACACGAAGAAAGGAACACCGGGCACTCACAGATAACGCATCCCATTGCGCATTCCAGTCCCGCTTCTCTTGCATCAACTCTGGTCTGTCATCCGGAATGGTCTTGATTGTTGCGTCCAGCTTGTCAACGAGGGTCGCAAACTCCTTGCGAAGGCGCACGGATTCGTCCTCTACAGATGGCTTGTCGATGAACACGAAAGGAGGCATAGCAGAGGAAGGATAGAACGAGAAAGAATGGGAAAAGAAGAGGATTATATGGAAGGGAAACTGCGCACGCAACGTGTTAACACGCAACCCTTGTTCCGGGTCCACAGAAGCATCAAAAGTCCGCAACTCCGATCACCGGCATCCGCATCCTTTTCTTTACCGTTCCGATATGCCCGGTCACGTGACTTATCCTTGGACGTCCCTTGCTAAGTCCACATTCCACGCATGCTGCTGACCAGGGATGGTCAGTGTTTGAGTCCCCCGCAGGTGTAGGAGACGCCCTGGCTGCAGCCCCCGTACGGCACCATTTTCCCTTACTGGACGAAGTCATGCCTACCTTCCACAGGCCGTTGCGGACCATCACACAAGGTTGCGGAATCCACGCACTCTACGCATCGCATCGCAATGTACCGTCCGTCCATATCCTGTCCGTATCTGTCAGTTCCCACTGGTGCGTTCTTATCTCTTATTACTGGATCCTGATCATTCGCAGAACTATCCGCATACCGTTCCCATGCATGAGGTCGCATAGCGCTACTTACATATTATCCCCTCCGACTTCGCGTACATATGCGCTCGCTTATACAGTTCCGGTTTCTTACGGACTATGATATATACTACGTTGCAGACTCGTATCCAGTACTTTCCTACATTCCCTCTCTGGTTGTGTGTTGCGGAGTCACTAGCTTAGTCTTACCTTGTCTTTCCTTGCTTGAGCAATCACTTGTTTGCCTTCTCATCCCGCGCAAACGCTCGCATCGCCATTGACAGTTGACTATTGCTAGTCCTAGTTGAGTTCCTTTGCAAGGCGGTTTCTGCACGTCTTCGCATATACCTGGTACCTAGTTTGCTCTACCCGATTACCTGTTCTGATACCTGGTACCCTATCCGTTCGCATACCTGGTACCCACCTGACATTCACTCATTTCTCCGCATCTGCATACCTCGCATCTCCGCATCTGCATACCTCGCATCTCCGCGCATTCTCGCATCTCCGCATCTCCTCACATACCTAGCTGTTCTGTCTTCAGCGCATCACTTCCTTCTTCACTGTTCCCCTCGCTCATACTTGAGGAACTGCTCTCAGAGCTATCCCCTTGGGTCGACTACTATTCTCGCACCCAGCAGGATCGGTACGCTATCACTATAGCGGACTTCTACGATTTCTCCCACACCGGGACCCTGCGTATCACATTGAGTCGCTCGGTACCATCCCTAATCAGGGACACGGCAATTTCCACCTGGAACCACCTTATCTCCAGACGATTTTATCCCCGATTTCAGCATTGACGAGATGCACCGTCAATTGGTGAAATTCATCGTTGCGGATGATCAAGCAAGTTGATATTTACTTTCTACGTGCCCTTGCTAATTCAATTTCTGCAGGCGATGAACGTTATAGAATGTCTAGAATTTCGACGCCTGATACATTTTTTGCGGGAGGATTTGACCGATTCAGACATTCTCCACCGCACAAAACTTCGTGAGCTCATAATTGTAGCGTGGCAAGAATATTTCCAGGTGTTGAAAGGTGATCTTGCCGTGAGTGTCTAGTTATCGAGAATCCCGCCATACGTCTTATGTATTCTTACAGAGGGCGCAAGGAAAATATCCTTTACATCTGACCTCTGGTCTGATCAGAAGCTCCGCCCCTTCTTGGCTCTCACGGCTCATTGGATTGCCAAGGAAGAGCAGACGTCGGTGCTCGTCCTGAAGGCAGCATTAATCGCATTTCATCACGTTCCAGGAAGTCATACCGGCAAATCTCTCGGTTCAGTAATACTGAATCTCCTCAATCGCGCTGATGTTGCAAAGGATGTGAGTGTTCAGCTGTACCGTATGATGTGCTCTGACTTCGTTTAGCCTGGACACTTTACTTTGGACAACGCGGCGAATAATCAAACATGCATGAAGGAACTTTCAAACCTACTCGAAGAACGCGAGATCACATATGATCCAATCGAAAACCGAATTCCTTGCTTTCCGCACGTGATCAACATATGTGTAAAACATATTGTTGACGACTATGCGACAGCGGATTTCTCATCCGTGGAGAATACCTGGAATGTGTGTGGTCAAATCGTCGTCAAGAATGAGTATGTCGGCGCCATCACCGGTAAAGCTCTCAAACGGGCCAGAAATCTTGTTCGCTCCATCCGTGCATCAAACCAACGACGTTCGAATTTTAGGGATACCATCGTGATAGGTAATGAAAAGGATTGGTTCCGGGGAGATACAGGCGAGCCTATAAGCTCCCTACAGTCGAGCTTTTGCTCGATGAGCCAACCCGCTGGGATTCAGTTTATGTCATGCTCAATCGTCTACGCAATCTACGTCAGGTGAGGTCTCATCTCACTGAATATTTGTCGTGGGCTAACCATTGCTCAGGCGGTTGATATGTTTCTTCGAGTCTCCCAACCAACGTTCTATATACGACAAAAAGTTGAGCCCAATAGAATGGCATTTCCTACAGGACTTCGAAGTCATTCTGGAGGTCAGTATCGACATCTTCGTAACCTATGTTGTATTTAACCTTGTAATTTCAGCCCCCCCACAGAGCTCAGCAATCCATGTCGAGCGAGAGCACTCCCATGTTGGGTCGTGCGGTTCCAGCGTTTGAAAGGTTACTTGAGGATTGGAAGCAGGTGGCCAATAGCGCCCCGCACTGTGCACCGCTCATCAACATTGGTTTGACTTGGGCGGAGAAGTATGATGACAGGATGTCCTGCACAAATGCATATGCCGTTGCGATGTGTGAGTCCCTCACATTTTTATAAAATTTGATGTCTTATGATCGGTTTATAGTTGTCGATCCAACCTGCCGAATGTCATGGGCTACGGATCATTGGGATGAGGACCGGGTAAAGTCAGCAAAGGAATTCATTTTCAAACTAGTACGTCTATCTCTATCTAGCTAGCAACAGCATGCGCTCATATGTCCTTTAGATGCATATCAAGAGAGCACAGTGGACCTCCAATACACCGGCTCCAATCCAACCACCCCCAAAACTACAATCACGCACGCTAGGCTCCCGTGTCTACGGACTTCGTGAGGGGGATGCACCGCCAGTTGGCGACGATATCGTCCAGACAATCGATCAGGAGTTTGCGGCTTATACCACAGCTAACATCAGCCCCAGGGGAACAAATATACTCTCCTTCTGGCAGGTGAGAGTCGTCTCCGTCAAGTGACGTATTTTGTTGTTGACCACGAGATTTTGACCAGATGTCTGAGGGGATGTTCCCAACGGTTTATGCCGTTGCTATGGACTACCTCCCAGTCCAGGCATCTGCTGTTCTCTGTGAGCGAGTGTTCTCGTCGAGCAGCGAAACGTACACAAAGAGGCATAACTGTATCAGCCCGATCCTCATGGAAGCTCTACAGATGGTGAAGTTCTCCTTAAAAAATGGGCGACTTAACTTCACCAAAGGTTGGGCGGCATCGCAATGGGCCATGGAAACTGGGGTGGTATCTGACAATAGCTTCGATGAGCTTTTGGGGCCTGTTTCAAGTGGACCTACAGATGACAGCAGCGCATATGACGCTGTCCTCAAAGCCATCGCAGAGCAAGAGTGCGATGACATCGACGACGAGGTTGTCGTTTATGATATCTGACATGTCCTTGATCTTTCATTTTTGTTTTTCACGTTTTGTTTACCCTCACGCACCTTATGATTCTTCTTGCATTGTGTTTGCATATTGAATTTCAGTTGTTATCTGATAGTCTCCTCGTCTAGGCAATCCGGATATTCTTCAGTCCACTACTGGGTAAGATCCTTGACATATGTTGAGCTCGAGGATCGCCCTTTCTTGGCGCCAGTTTACTGACCGACGAACAATATACTCGAAATGACCGTGTCGCACTTCTTCTATGAAGACCCAAAGACACGAACTCAGATGCCACTGACCGTGTATTTAGGTGGTCTTGGTCCTCTCAGAGCTCGTTTCTATCAGGCTGCCCCCCCTGGACCGTTGACTAACATTGCCGCCTTCTCCTACCACCTTCCTGCCTCTGCCACCATACAAACCTCTGCCCCCCCTGGACCGTTGACTAACATTGTCGCCTTCTCTTACCACCTTCCTGTCTCTGCCGGCACGTCGTTCCTTCTTCGTCATCGTCTTCCTGGGCTTGGTGATCTGTCCCACGGAGCATGTTTTCAGCACCTCGGAATTGGCGTCACATTTGTATACCGCTTCGCCGAACAATGTGTATACGTCGGTTCGGGGAGAGGTGTTTGATCTTATGACCGTTGCGGCGACTCATCAGCGCGTTGTTAGCATCGTGCCTGTCAAGACAATCCTTCAGACGTATGGCGGTACTTCATCAGACAAGATCTTCCCTGTTCAGGTTAGTGGGATTCATATGGACAGTTTGGTTCTTTCTTACCTGCTTTTAGGTCTCTGCGTTGTGTAATGGCGTGAGTGGCTCCGTCAGCCCTTATGTGACTCTCAGCTCTGCCAACGACACCGATCCCAATGCTTCGTATCACGACTTCCGCGCTTTCACCAATGATTCCCGTCCAGATTGGTACTTTGAGAGTATGACCATTATGCGATGGAGCAACCGCGTCGGATACATGGGTTACACGCCTGCGGAGATCAGTACCATGGCCAACTCTGGCTATTTCTGAACGTTCACGGCCGGGTAACCGTGGCAAGCGTGATTATCAGATGGTGATCATGCATTTCTTGAACAAGGTAAGCATCTTTTTCGTGGAATTGTGGGGTTGTCGTTTAACCTTGATGTGCAGGTTCACTTCAGTACGCCCATGAACCCGCTCGAACTGGAGATGTACCACCAGATCAAGAATGTGATTGGTGTCAACCCGACGTTCTTCGAGTATTTGTTTACGGTCGATGCTGATACAACAGTGGAGCCTTATTCTGTCCACCGGTTGATCTCTGCGTAAGTCAATGTTCGTTATTCCGGGAATTCCAGGTTGATGTTTGTTTTTCTGTAGGTGCATTCATGACAAGAAGGTGCTTGGGGTTTGCGGTGAGACTGAACTAGCGAACGCGAAGCAGTCGATTATCACAATGATGCAGGCAAGTTTTTAGACCTATAAAGTTGTCGGAAATTCTAATGGATGTCTAGGTCTACGAATATTTCATCTCGCATCACATGGCCAAGGCTTTCGAGAGTCTGTTCGGATCTGTTACCTGTTTACCTGGTTGTTTCACCCTATATCGTTTGCGGACTCCCAATACCCACAAGCCCCTTTTGATATCCAACCAGATGATCCAGGACTATTCGCAGAACCGCGTTGATACCCTGCACATGAAGAACTTGCTGCACCTCGGAGAAGATCGATACCTTACTACTGGCCATCCCGATCTTCTCTCTCATGCTCCCGCTCTATTCGTTCTGGTGTATGGATGACTTCTCCTGGGGTGCCACCCGTGTCATGTTGGGTGAATCTGGCAAGAAGATGATCGTTCATGTAGGTGTTTTGTGGTCCCCATTATTTTGATTGATACTGATGAAGTTTCTTTAGGACAAAGGCAAGTTCGATCCTCGCGCGATTCCTCTCAAGTCATGGAATGATTACGTGCGTGGTTTTAGGTCCCTTTGTAAATATATTACTGATCTGGTTTACAGGAGAACGAGCTCTGGGACAAGGAGTCGAACCACAGTATTGGCTCATGGGCTCCTCCCAATCAGTTCCACAAGGAGGGATATGCAGCATCTTCCCCGCGACCACCTACTGTACCCATCATCCACACATCCCTAGCGCACCTTCCGAGCTCATTGCCATCGTGGAATGTATACCCAGAGGACTTGTATAGCGGAGGTGCATATGCTAACCTACTCTAGGGCGGGTACGTACTTGCTTATTTGTACTCGTGTTCTAGCGCTGACGTGATATACAACCCAGGTGCGGTATTGGCTTATAGGACCGGAGGACGGGCGGCATGTGTGTGTGTTCGTGTGCACGAGTATCATAGCGGCTAAAGGTGCGTGCAACCGACGATCGAGGTAGAACATGTAACTGATGAACCCGCTTCTTTCATTACCACCCGCAACTATCCCCCTATCCCCCATACCCTTCGACGCCCTTCGCGATCTCTCAAACGCCTCCACCCAACGCCGCCGACTCCCGCCGTTCACGACCAAACACCCTCACCATCCAACCCCGCCACCTCGTTCTCCAACCCTCTCGTCCTCTTTCACCTCCTCGCTGCTTTAATTTGCAGTGTTTCTTCGTCACGGATGGCTTGTGTAGCTGCCGTGGGGGAGAAACGCAGCACAGTTCCTACTTTAGTTGAGTTTTTCATCAAACATTAACAAAATAATGACATACTTGGTCTTGGGGGGCCATTAGCGCCCGTGTGATTATCGATCGTGCGTTGGTAGTAGTTAGATCTTCGATAATTGTAAATGTAATCTATTTTTGATCAATGTGTAATCATAAAATTAAAAATATAAAAATATAAAATTCTAATTTTAAATCAGCTGGCTTGAAGCCGGCTCGGAGACAGTAAGCGCGCTTTATTAACTGGGCCAGGCCATGAATTATGTAAGCCATAACTAATCACACGGCTTGGCTAATTACAGCTCCGCCCACGGCTAAAGCCGGACAGAAGCCGGACCCACGGCAACACTACTCACGCTAATGTTCTCCCGTTTCAACAGACCTTAAGGAAGACATGCTATCGCGCCGCAATAAGGATGGCCACGCTCCCAGCACCGCACCCACTAGTCAAGGAGATCAAGGGAGCATATGAATACAGCGAAAAGAGGCAATTCAAGGGGAGAAAACGCTACCCGTCACCCCTGCATAGACTAATGAACGAATTCCAAACAGATCCATCGAAGATCGAGAAGATCGAAGCTGTAAGACATTATCCCAAGTGGGAACCGGACGTCGACACGAGAATCGCAGAGACGAAGGAGAGAGCCGTGGAAGAGGACAAAAGCGCGACGGAGGACCTACGAGTGTACTCGGACGGTTCTGCAACAGAAGGGAAGGTCGGGGGAGCGGTGGTCCTAATGAGGGGAGACGAGGTCATAAGGAGCAAGAGACTGCACCTGGGAGGCATCGAACACCACACCGTATATGAGGCGGAGCTGATAGGGATGATACTGGCATTAGAGCTGTTGAGGGAGGAAGGCGTCAATGAAGGAAGGACAATGGTACTAGGGGTGGATAACCAGGCCGCGATACGCGCGATGACAACATTCCAGTCGAGACCAGGCCACTATCTGGCCGACATATTCCACGACGACTTACGCAAACTGCTCCCCCACAACGATGGCAGAACACTCGTCATCAGATGGACACCAGGCCATGTGGGCATTCCGGGGAACGAGGCAGCGGACGAGGAAGCGAAAAGGGCAGCAGCAGGAAGCACGTCAGACACGCGCTCGTTACCAAGGTCACTTCTAGCAAAGGACAACACAGTCGCAACCCTACCGCAAAGCAAGTCAGCACTCAAGCAAAATTTCTATGGCAGAATCAAAGACGAGGCATCAAACGTAATGCGGGAATCCCCCCGTTACACACGTCTCCAATCCATTGACCACACTGCCCCGTCCAAGAAATTTGCGAAGAGAATAGAAGATCTGCCCAGAAAACACGGATCCCTACTGTTCCAGCTTCGCACTGGCCACATCGCCCTCAACAAATACCTCCATCGTATAGGAAGCGCACCATCCGCGATGTGTCAACAATGTCGAGTACACGAAGAGACAGTCCATCACCTTCTGCTAGTATGCCCCAAGTATGCTAGACAAAGATCCGCGCTAGGACTGGAAGTGGGACCACGGCAGCTCAACGTAAAGTACTTACTCAGTGAAACGAAAGGCATACGGGCGACACTCAAATACATCGCACGCACAAAACGCTTGGAAACAGTCTTCGGAGACGTCACACCCCCAAAGGAAAAGGAGTAGAGGAAAGAGAAAAGGATGACGTGAGGAAGAAGGATAGAGAGGTAGCGGAAACACGCCGGGAAACTCATATCAACTACACTCCAACGCCTTAAGACGGCGCTACTGTCCTCGCCTCCCAGCCTGGGCCATTGCAGAGACTCGACAACACCATTCGTAACACAACCTACACGCCAAAGATTAAATACTGTATGTAATGTCCAACATAGGGCTCCGCCCCACAGGACAATAAACGAGGAAAAAAGAAAAAAAAAAAAAATTATCGGTGTATTCCTTTTCTCCCGCCCGTCTGTTTCTGTTATGTAGTACTAGTCTGTTGTCCTAGCCGACTTAATCAATGGCCGACGCGAGCTCCTCGCGTGGAGAATAGGAGGCATTGTTGGTCCCCAACTCCTCGCGTGGAGAATAGGAGGCGTTGTTGGTCCCCAACTCCTCGCGTGGAGAATAGGAGGCGTTGTTGGTCCCCAACTCCTCGCGTGGAGAATAGGAGGCGTTGTTGGTCCCCAACTCCTCGCGTGGAGAATAAGAGGCGTTGTTGGTCCCCAACTCCTCGCGCTTCTTGTCTGGTGCAAAAGGTTTGATACTCAAATGAATACATAGCAGATTAGTTATATTCTCACCTTCAGGAATAACAAGGCCATCGAGTGTAACGTACGAAATATAAGTCACAGAGTTGGTCTCAAGTTGGTCGGGTTTCCTACCTTCTTCTAGGAGATCACGTTGAGAGTTCGTGTCAAGTTCCTTTCGTTTAGCTGAGTGATACATCGAGGCATTTGAGTAACTACGATAATGCTGATGATCATGAATGCTCACAGGAAAGTTCCTCAATCGAGATGGCTCTTGGCGTGGGTGCCGCTGCAGCGAGAATGACGAAAGATATGAGCGCGCTAAAGAGCACAGAAAGCTGCATGTTTAGGGACAAGAGCAGTGACTACTTTTGCAATGTTACTACACTGGAAATTCGAGAGGGCTCTTTATAAATCCTGACATGTCCGCTCGAAAAGACACGATCACATACCCTGTCAAATCGGGGCCAGCGGACCCTAGGCCTCAACCAGGAGTTATCGAGAGCTTCAAGGTGTGGCACCGTCACGATACAGCAATTAGGATTCCAGAACTAGGACTAGTAGGCAAGTTAAAGGAAACAGCCGGGATAAGTTGCGTGGCAGTTGCCCAGTGAGTAGTGCAGATCAGTCCGCTGCGGAAGCTTCATCGTCATGATGCATTCACAGTTGACAAACGTTCGGTAGTGTGAGGTGCTGCCACGTCATTTATGTAAGAGGGACTGCGGCTTATCGTTTAGGTGATTTGAGTGCACACCTGGCGAAAGGATATTTAATTCAAACATGATGTTATGCCAGCTCGAGACAAGGTACGCTGAAACGATGCAAACCAAAAGTCACGTTTACCACACTGCTGACTAAGCTATGCCTCCGAGTCCGAGCCCGAAGAGCTGCAACTTCAAGTTTTGTTGCCATGCAGCCCAAGAGAATTCAGCACGCCAGCTGAGGCCTGACTAATATTAGCCAAGCTTCCAGACCTCGCTGAATCTTCCAACCCATCAAAAGTACGAAATATTTGTACTAATCATCAAACTTATTTTCAGTTATTTTCAGGTTATCAGTAACGGAAGAGATCCCATATGGACGGTTTTCCTTTTCCTACTGTGTAATACAAGAGAAATTCAGATAAATCTCTCTGCATGTAGGTCACATACAGTACCAAATCCGAGATTGGTGGCCGTGGACTCATTCAGGGAATCAGAGGGAACTTCCTGACAGGCTGTGGGGACCTCTTAGAAGCAGTGACAAGTGTGTCCTCGTTATTGATGGTGGCTGCGACATTGACCTGTCTTTTTCCGCTTAGCTTTAGCGAAGGTCACCGGGCCAGCATGTCTTGGTGGTTGCCTGTTGATGTCATTCCACAGGCATGCTGAAACGAAGAGGTACCAAATTCTAATCATGGTATTATATCGTAATACCTCACCGTCATCTGCAACCAACACAGGCAGGTGCCGCCGCATAGGCAGTGCAGTGAAGATCAGTGAACGGCGCAACTGCAAGGATCAAGAACCCAAAAATCTCATTTCAGCAATGGGCGTCTTTTGAAGGTTCTCCCCGGCGTTGTCATCGGACCGTCGTATAAAGGCGCAATCCTTAGGCTGTGCAGGTATTGTCTGTACATTCCCTGAATCCCACCCTTTCCTGAAGCATTTGACCATATATCCCACTCGTTCAGCCAGTTTCTCTTGCTAGTCACTAGAACTAGACGAAAAAATGCACAGTAATCATGACAATGTTGCCCTCGGTACAGAGGCAAGCAATTCCTTGCAGCTTCTACGTCTAATTAAAACGTTCATATTTCTTTAGGATCAATTAATTTCGCTTCGAGACCAGATCAATGAAATCCAGGAGCACATCGACTTGCTCATGATGCAGAGCGCCATTATACTGGAGCGGAGGAGCCTCCTTCAACAACAACCAGAAATCAAACCGCTTGCGATAACGGAGCAACAGGATCATCCATGTCCTGAGGCCAGCCATTCTAATTTCCTGGACATGGAGGATACTTTGAATTCCGTCGTGTCAGGTCCATCTTTGGCGTTGAAGGGCGCAGACGACTTCCGAGCGTCTCCCCCCCGCTCAGGATCAACAATGGTATGTGATAACTTGCGTGTACTGCTTCATCTCATACAATATGTGTACCACCTGCAAGACCATCCTTTCTGATGCCACAACCGTTGTTCAAACACCCACGAAGCCTCAGGGCAGCACTTCCCAGGTGCGTGCCAAACCGCGAAAATACAAGCCGGGACGTCGTGAATTCCACGGAAGATCTGCACGGCATGAACCTCCTGCTTTGTTTCAGGGGTGGGTGGACGTCTCTGGTAGCATATTCTAAATACTTTGGTTGGTTTGATATAAACGATACATGACATTGATGACATTACGCACGCGTGTATGCGCCTTCAGGCCCCAAGATTTGGTGAAATACGGGATGTCAAAGATACATACACACGCAATTTTTCTGTCAGTGGGATAGGATATTCAGAATACAGTCATGTTATTTTGGTCTATTGGAACAAGTATATGCGGTGGTGATCTCAAATGTAGAAGTAATTCCGGAGTGTCAAAGCCAGGCGACGGCCTGTGCACGTGGGACTGAATTATAACGTCAACGTCTGGATGTATCACTGGCGAGCTATATTCAGAAAGAGCACACCCAATGTGCCACCTCCCATTCTTATTCATATAAATTCGCAACACCCATATATGTCCTTCAGTGAATAGTATGTTCGATCAGCGTGAAAAACAAGCCAAAAGACATGGATTACATACCCCGTGCAATAAAATTCTACTGCAAATTCCTGCGTAATACGCAGGCGTGTCTGGAACATCTTGAGGACCAAACGAACAATGTAGCGGTTTTCAACCAGTCCATCCCGGAGCGAATCTCATCTCGCAGACAACCCAACATGCGTCTCAAAGACTTATCTTTGGCTGATAGCATGTGGTTAGTTAATTACATGCTGCATCTGGCCGCGTGAATGGTAATGTACGCATACAATTTATATGAGCAGGATGGCGTAATACAAAGCCTACAATAAAGAGTATATATGCGCCTGGGTAAGCACAAGTAAAGGCAAGATAGTGTCGCCGGGTGCCTTCACATCGGTGATCTGAAGGCTGTTGTTGACAGTTCATTAGACATTAAGCCATTGTCTACAAAAAGGATTTCAGACTTAATGTCCTGCATAATGAACCTACAATTTCGTGGTCTCGAAGTAGAATACCCATTTGTCTTCGCCACTCCTTAGCGGATGTCTGCCCCAGTAGAACTGTTTACGCCGTCCGTACGTCCATGCCCGTCGCTCTAAAAATCGATAACGAACACAATTAGCTCGATGTTTGGTTTAACAGTCGGATTTTGAACGATTCCAGTTGACACGGAAAACGCAGTTCCTTACCGCCGACAAGAACGTATCCCAGTAGCCTGTCTTCTCGAATGACCACGCGCTTGGGAAGCTTCTCGAGTCCATTGACGTGTCCAAGTAGCAGTGCCTCGATAGCCTTCTGTCAAGACATAGATGATTGGATATGTAAGCGACTTCAGGTTTGACCGAGCTCGCCAGCATGCGTCACGACACTTACGGTGATATCGTGCTGCTCTATAGCAAATATGGATAGTTCTGCCTTAGAAGGACTGGAAAATAAAACGTGGTCAACCCTCTAAGGATAAAGATAATATCATCCCCTGCAGTTTGCCTGCAGTTATCTTGTTACCTTGCGTTTCTGCTTCTGACGGTGACCTGAACGACCGTCCCGATATGATCGCTGTGATTTGATAATTCGCCTGATGCGCTGTCGTGCGGTTGGGCCTCCAAGCACAACAGTCGAGTCTTGTTGAGAGGTAGTGTGTATGCTGCCATTAATGTTGTGGTATCTTCGTCGGCTGCTTCAAGTTGAAACGTTAAATTGACGACGCAATGCGATGTAATTGATGCAAGGAACAACGCCAAACAATGCAACAACAATGTTGTTTTCATAGATCTGGCCATATCAACTACGGTACAAACATATAATAATCAGAACCCCGGGTCGTACCACGCCATAGTGGGTTTTCACTGGGATCCAGGTGCCGTACATTCCACACGACGATCATGTTACATCGTTTTTTCTCGTCCAGAATCGTGGCGTGAATCACAGCCGCTGGAACGCAGGCTAAGCCACTCCAGGTCTCAGTCAACGTTTCATCTAAGGGAAGGCTGGATTTATACATGTCCCACTAACTAGTCACTGACCCACTGGATTGGCAGCGTCATCTTTGACCACACCATTAAATCCGAGTACCTCACGTTGGGACACTCTTCGCCACCGGCGGTGCCATCCATGCATTTCTTGGCGGAAAGAAAATTGTTCTGCATCTTTGTGCAAACCTCTTGCAGAACGCGCGAAAGAGGCTGTATCTCAGGCTCACCAAGCTCGTACGCATAATTACACTCGCTGAGAGTAGATGGTTCGAACTGAAAGCTGGCTGCTGTTGAGGGGGAGTTGTATGTAACTTCTTTCTTTCATACTTTTCTCGTTCTTTTTCTTTCCTCGCTGCCTTCGTTCAGTGCACATTCCATTGATGCCTGGATTTCTGACCTGCGAACTATCCTAGCCTCCCTTTTGCTCACACGTTCACACGTTCACAGCTACTACCTCTGTCATAGACCGTGTCATAGACCGTGACATGCTCAAAGTAGGCGTAAGACTATTGACTGCAGGCCAACGATCCAAGCGACTCTGCAATCTCATCACCGGCTCCTGCATCAATACACTAGAAACAGTGTTCTCCGAGGCAGCATGCAGAGCGATAGCGATAGCAACTCATCTACACCTGGATCGCCCAATGTGTCTTATCCTCCTGTGTTATCTATGTGTACCACTTTGTGCAATTGTACGAGCACCAGTGGAACTTGACACCACCCATCTTTCGGGGTAAGTCGAATTCAGAACTGGATACAAACATTTTGGTGGTGGGCGCGTCGATCATTTATGACGGTGCAGGGTCCTCATGAACACCAAGCAAACACTCATCGCTCGCGACATGCCTACCTGCCTCATCTATGCGCGTCCGATCGCTCGTTAAGTGGTCGGTAAATCGTGGTGGAGCATGGAGAGAAAGCTTGGAGGCGACATAATACTTCTCGTCCTGGTTTTCAACTTTCTCTGCAGCTCTTTTTTCTTAGATGTTCTATCAGGTTGATGGACTAGCACTCATCATCCAGGTTCTCCAACATGCCTCCCTCCTGCTCTCAAATGATTGCATTGTATCAGCATTATCCATAGGGCCAGTGCCACCTCCACAGCACCGGCACCACCCCTGCACACGCCCTCGTCTGACACCACATCCCTATGCAGTTCTCACCCAGCACCGCTTCCTTTTGTTTATTCATCCCATCATCAAACGCGAGCTCACCACCGACGCGCTCGACGTATCTACATACTGCTGACGCGCGGGGAGTTGGCTGGAAGATGATGACGAGGAGCGTACGGTGCACACTGAGGAATGTAACGCCGCCTGTTCTCAAGCCTATCTCTGCGTCTGCGTCTGCGTCTGCATGCACTTTTCACCGGGACATCTTGGTTAGACGTGGGTCTGCATGTGGTTCATTTACCTTACTTTGCAATTCATAGCTATCTAACAAAATGATATCATGTACATCTGCATAGGACAGCAAGAGCTAGGAGTGAGATACAACGCCTAAACGCACACCAGAGAGAAGAGAAAAAAATAGAGTGACTTCCAGCAAATGAACTCAGGACAGATGCGAGGTGGGACGGCGACCAAAGAAAAATCCGCAGCAGCCGCAGCAGTTAACTTCATAGGACACGTCTCCCGTCCCACCACTTGGGCCTTGTGTTTCTGTTGGTCGTCCCTGAGACCCTTGTACCACCAGCGTAGGTTGACCTGGTTGCGTTGAACTGTCGGCCTCGTTGTTGACGTTCGTACGTTGCATAGCTGCTGCGGCTTCCGCATCAGATTCAGGGGTAATACCGTACCTCTGTATTGTGTTTCAATAGAATGAAAGAGAAGTGACGGCGAGAAAACTCACGTCTTCATCACGAGCAGCGGCTACATCAATAGTGCGTCTGGAAATCCCTACAGGAATTAAGTTGAAATTCCAATGTCGGGGCTCGCGCGTTGTTGGTGGAGGTGAATTTGGAGGTCGAGGACGGAAACGTAGTGAACCGAACAAAGTATGAAGGACAGCTGATGGGCTCGCAGGCGGAGCTGGTGCGCGATTTGTATCGTTGGTGAAGAAGTCTTTGCCCTATATCAGTGTCAGGCGAGAAAGAGTTCAGGAACGAAAAGCAACACTGACATATTTCGCCGAGCCTTTGTTACTCGCGTGCTGTGTGGAGAAAATCGGGTGTGAGGAGAAGTGCTGAACAAACAAATGAGCGAAGGACAAGGTTAGTCACAACTGATCGGCGCACATCTATCGGTCGGACTGGACGCCCCTAGGAAAAGGTGAGATCGAGTGTAAAGAGAAGAGGAGCAGGGCCTACTTGCCTTGGATTTCGCGTCAGGGTTTGCATTGACATCATCCACGCTCTAAACCAGAACCGTTAAAAATGTGTTAAGGCGCCAATGCACACACGCACGCCAACTTGGTCGCCACCCCGCTGATTGAGCGCTGCCTCCATGCTCCAAACATAGACTTTTGCCTCGAATCCACCACTAACAATGTATTGTCCATCACGGGATATGGCAAGAGCAAGAACTCCGTCGTCATGTAAGAGTGGATCTCCGACTGGCTGATTGGTCTTCAGGTCCCAGATGCGAACTGAGCAGTCTTCTGATGCGCTAACAAGATGGCCTTCATCAAGTGATAGACAGAGGGATCTGACAATGTTGGTATGACCTCGAAGAACGACGAGCTCTTCCCCATCAATTGACCGCCATTTTCGGATGGTGCCATCAGCTGACGCAGAGAAGATGTGTGCGCCGTCCTTAGCCCAACACAATGACGTCACCGAGTAATCATGTCCCTTGATCTCGATGAGCAACTGCCCGTCCTTGGACCACACGCAGATTATACGGTCCTCGCCGCCGCTCATGAATTTGTCGCATTGCGGAGAATATTTGACAGCATTCACCCAGCCATGACCGGTCTCTATTGGTGTCGTTGTTTGCCGGCCAACATTCGGGTTCCAGCGTCGTATGGTGCCATCTTGCGATCCACTTGCTATCTCCAAGGCATTGGGGGACCAATCGAGGCATCTCACTGCATCATTATGCCCCTCCCACGGGTCGCCGACCATGATGCCCTTCCTTATGTTCCACAGTCGTAGTCTACCGTCCGTACTTACGCTCACGACCATTGTTTCATCCGGAGATAATGTCATTGAGCGTATCCCCCCACCATCGCTATCCAAAGTCTTTCCTACTGGCTCTCCGTCTCTTTTCCAGTGGCGAATAGAACAGTCATCCGACGCACCCAGTATATTGCAACTGGTGCCCAAGCAGGCAAGGCTCCATATGCATTTAGAGTGACCCTCGATGATGCACTCCGGCACCAAACTCTCTGCCGGACGCACTGGCTTTGGTTTCTTCCAGGATGTGGTCCGACTGTCGTGGTTGACGAAGTAGGACCTGCCGAGTGGCGAGATGTGCCATTCGCATCCATCAATAACGAGTTGTCCAGGTCGATCTATGCTCAACCATGAGTTCCTTGCTCCTAGTGGCATGTTCTTCGCTCACCTAGTCGCACTCCTGGTAAAGGTCGGTTCCATGAAACCATACTAAGCGTGTCGTCTTGATATCCTGTTGCACCACTCAACGCCTGAAACTGATGCCATTGAGGGGGGAGCGCCTCATTCCCGCCTGCTTCTTGATGGGTAACTCAATATGTATCATAATACTGTTGCTCACCTTCCCAAAGAGCATCCTGGCGGCGCTGTGCACCATATGGTGGTGGATACTTCGCTCCTGCTCGAAGAGGTGCAACACGTGCTGGCGAGTCTAACAGCGCTTCTTTCCGTCTGGCTGACGTACTTGATTCGGCCTCTTTGCGGGGCATGCGAAGAAGAGACGATGGGGGCAGGTACGGGAATGCGTAAATTAATAGTCGAGGGGAAAAAAGATGGTGATGATGAGCGGATCTTCTAGACGCTTAGATTTGCATGCTGTGGTTGGAGGCAACCTTGGTGAGAATACTTGTTGGCGGCAGTGCTTCGAATTTCGATACAGTTCGGTTCCGTCTGATAATGACTTGCACTGAATCTGTCAGCGAGCGCTAAGATATGGAGTATGCTTGAGCCCAGGTTTGACATATATCGAGACACCTGGACCACCGGCCAGAGTTTATTTTGAATGTAATGTAATGAATATGCAGACGCAGCTAAGTGCGATGCGAATATTATGTGGACCGATGGAAAGTAAAAGTAGCGTGTCTGAGCTCAGAACGAAAAAGAGCGGTAGTTGTAGAAGCCCAGAGGGTCGATACCATATCAGTCCTGCATATCGTGCAGGGCCGACGCGATATCATCCGTTTGGGAAGATAGCTGTTAATTGAGTGTGGGGAATGGAGAGCGGAGAATGACTGTGTCGATCAAATCAAACATTTGAAGAATGATTTAATTTCACCGGTGGCCATTTATTGGAATAGCGCGTCTGAGCTCAGACAGCTGATATCTCCAATGATTTTACAATAGCAACACATCTATTGGATATCATCTGTCTGAGCACGACAAAAGAAGAAGGAGAAATGGCAGTGATTTGTGACTCGTGGCTGATTGAACATCGGTAATTAGACGTTGAATATTCCATCTAGGCTACCCATACTAGATAGACTGTGAGGGGAAAATAGGTTGTTCGCAGAATTAGAGCATATCTTAGACGAAGATTTACAGAAATTCCTACCTTGAATGTTGAATTACGTGGTTCGATCGATCAATGGGCTGCGCTGATCGTCCTGGGGTGGGGCTGGAGGTAGGGTCTAGATGCAGATCAATGACGGAGCGAGTCTCAAAGATAAGGGGAGGGGAGGAACGATCAGGGCGTGTAAACGTGTATACGATAAATGTGGATGGCGGTACTAATGCAGACCACGAGACACATTTATCATCTCACATAACCTCGCGGGAGGGAGTGGACGTACATGGTGTCTGAGTCCGATTGTGGCGATGGCGATAGGAGGGAGTAGGAACGATATAAGGTGAGAGGAGAATTCAGGACCGAGAGTATGAAAGTACGTACTTGTGGGATGTTTCATGAGGATGGCAGTCGGACACAGGCGCATGAATACCCCGCAGGTGTGGCATCGTTGATGTCCAGTTCCTAGAATATGACGTCGAATCAGAGTAGTACTAGTGGAGCAGGTTCAAGGTGCGATATTCCTACAACTGACAAAAAAAACAAGTCGTTCTGAATAAGCCGTCTCCAACGCGAGCGCCATATGAAGGCTCCCGTATTGGAGGGCGTAGATCGGCATAGGAGTAGTATACGTGGAGGCGTTTATCGCAAGAAGTCGTATCACAAGCCCATTCAGAAGTGCGTCGACTACGAATGAAATTCAGTCATGGAATAGAGTTATGCCAGCGTGTTCGCAAAAGGTACGTAATACTTACATGGGGTGTATGAACGGATTTGAATCTGATGCAGGTCGGTGGGAAGATGAGTTCAGAATCATTGCGTTGAGTGCTGCTATCGTAATATTGATAGGCACCAGTGACCTGGGTTAGAGATCTAGCAGCGACGGATGGCAATCGTGTTTGGAAATGAATAAAAGGTAGAGGTGGGATGAGTTGGAAGATGTGAATATTGGCGGATAGCGTTATGGAGGGGCACCAGCGAGAAAAAGAGCTTGTGGAGCGGGCGAATGGAGGGAGAATGAATGGAGAACGATGGTTGTATCGATAGCGGGTGGTTGTTATCTATGGGAAAATGGGTTGAATAAGAAGCAAGCACAATGATATATAGGCTATGATACTTAGACCAATAGGAAGAGTGTCAAAGATGATGCTGATCGAAGAATACCCAGTAACTGAGCTTCATGAGAATCATCGACGCCGGAGGACGACACAGCCGGAGAGAAGGCACGTTGCACTCCCAATGAACTATGTCGAGAGGATCAGTTGAGGACCAGTCACATTTATCCATAATCAAGAAGGAACGACTGTCTTCCTTCTATATGGTCTGGCTAAGGGAGACTAACATTTATCAGGAATCAAATCCCCAATTTGATTCTCGACGATGGAAGATAGTCATTTCTTCTATGTGCAATTCTTAAGTTTCAGCGCCTTGGTACCTAATTGTTGCCTGTTCGTCGAGATTCGCGTCTAGTAGTTCAGCTTCTCGTCTTCCTTGATGGAGGCGAGTGGAGCGACAAGATAGAGCGGCACGAATGTGGTTTCCGGATCGGCCTTTCGGGTGGTAGCCTAGTGCAGGGCGTTCATAACCTGTCTGGTTGTCATAGCACTAGCTCTTTGAGCTCGATGCACATTGTCAATATTTAAGTGTTACACATTGTAAGCTTGGTTTCAACGTACGGATCCGGACGTCGATGGAAGGTTGGTTTGAAATTTTAGCAATCGGAAATTACCGGTTCCTGCCAGTGAACGTGCACGACGCGGAGGTAGACTCGGAGTCATCAGACTACGGTGTAATGTCACTCACACCACTACTGCCTCAAAGGATCCGGACACAAGATCATTCAC